AGTATTTATGTTAGAATCATATTTATGTGTACCAAGAAATCTTGCAGCAATATTTGAACATCTCTTTTAGCACATTCTTTTAATCTGGTGTCACTCATAAGATATTTTTACCTAAATATTATGTAAAAAAAAACAAAAACAGTCCTAAGCAAGTAAAATTATGCAAAAAAAAAGTAGTGTGAGTGCTCTAAAGGTATTGATGGTGAATACTTCATGGAAAGATAAAATCATAAGCTTTAAAACACCTTTAAAACACCAAAACATCTCGTGTCTGAATTGAGGTAAAATTCTCTAGCATGGCAGTGCCGATTTACTATTAAAGAACACACAAAAAGATCCAAATTGTATTCAAGCTAAAAGTGGTCGAACTAGAGCAGCTTCTGAGTGATTGCTGGTCTGTTGGTGCACGGGCAAGTCAGTGTCTGCATGGCACGAATGTGCACACACTCATCGAGCTGTTGACCTCAGCAGGGCTTTATGCGGCTGCAGATAATGAGCTTTAACGTTCTATTTCATCTTTCTCAATAAGGAGGTGCGCTGCGGACACCGGAGGCCCTAAAGGTCAAACAAAGCAACTCAGTCTGAAAAGAGATAACACAATGCAGGCAAGCAGGTAATTATTGAGACAATCATAAATTGGAGGAGGCCTGATAGAGTTCCATTACTTTGGCTGAGTGGAGGGTAAATTTAGTGGTGAAGCAGAGGAACCATTAACACTGGGAGGGTGCTCTTCTCCCTTGAAGGCATATGGAGTTAGAGAAGGACCTGTCTGAACAAACAACTGCACCTAACTTAAGATATAATCATAATCTTTAAGTACATTATGTGAATAATTTAAACAGAATTACATTTGTTGATACTGACGAAGCACTCTAGCTTTTAGTTGAGTTCTATACTTGGTTCCTGTATTTTTATTAAAGCCACAATACGTAATACTCTCTGTCATGCATTTACATAAATTAATTTTGTGTAAATCCGTTCAAAAATTGTTTAGTCAAAATATTAACTTGGTGTTTCTGCAAAGACGAAATTATATAGAAAATGTTTTGCATTATTCACACATCTTTAACCTTTTTACCTTTCACCAGGTTAAGGGGAGTCTTACAACTGTTTCATTTCTGATACAAATATATATACTGTATATATATATATATTAGGGCTGCAACAACGAATCGATAAAAATCGACTTTTAAAAGCGTTGGCAACGAATTTCATCATCGATTAGTTGTGTCGTGCGATTAATGCGTCATCCGCCGCCGTCGTCATTGCCGTGGGGCGCCTCCCCCATCCCAACACTGTTCTCCCGCGGCGCTCCCGCAGGAGTCCCTCAGCGCTGCAGTCAGAGCCGCAGGATTGCAAATGAAGCGCGCATGCGCCGGGATTGACGGCGCAAATTGATCACAATAATTAAAATAGCCTGCGCTTTGTAAAGCGAAAAAAGTCGTAACATGCAACTTTTGAAAAAACAAATGAACATGGCACGGAAGCACCACTGTTATGACGCAGCACCTGAAAAGAAAACATGCTGGAGCCTTCGATGGCAGTGAAGAGAGCTGATCAGCAGGATGAGTAACCATGTTTGTTTCGTTTTAAAGTGGGGAAACGTAACGTTAGTTTCTCAGGTAGCTCATCTGATGCTTTCCTTACCTTGTTAGTAGGTTACAGACAGTGATAAGGTTGGCTACTTATTTTACTTTTAATTTCATTTGAATTAGCTTAGGCAGCGTTTATATTTTCTTTATAAATAAATTAACTTGCAAATTATGAGGGCAAGGCTTTTAAAGTTTAAATCTTCTGGCAAAGATAAAGTAAAGATCCTGCAATTTATGGAAGTAAAGCAGAATAAAATCCAGCAAGATCAGTAATATGTCAATTAATTATATGCCACATTCCCATGTAAATATCTGTCTTTGGAGGATGTGTTTTTTAGCACCCCTAGTTCTCTCATTTTTATTCCAAATACAATTTATAATTTGAATCACAGGGCTATTTTTATCTCTATGGTTCAGTATTTTCTCAAGTAGCAACTTTAACTGCTATACTTTCCTGTCTTAAAAGGCAGAACTCTTCTAGTCTAAAAAAAACTCATTTGTTGAAATGGGGGGGCCTATTGTTTGAACCCCTTAGGGGCTTTAAAAACAAAAATGTCTTTTTTTGCGCTTTATGAAACAAAGTACCCTATATTTTGTGGATGTACAGCTACATTTCTCATGTAAATTTGCATAGTTTGAACACAAACATTTATTTTTCATATTGCACCAGTACAGTTAATGAGCAACCTGTACTTGTGTGCTTGTTTGTTCTGTCTAAAAATTTTTATTTTGGAATAAAGAGGTTAATATAAAAAATATTTTTTGTCCGATTCATCGATTTATCGAAAAAATAATCGGCCGATTCATCGATTTTTAAAATAATCGTTAGTTGCAGCCCTAATATATATGTATATATATATATATATATATATATATATATATATATATATATATATATATATATATATATATATATATATATATATATATATATATATATATATATGTGTCTGTTTCTTTGTGTGTGTGTGTCTGTGTGTGTTTTTGTGTTCAATTTGATGTCAGTCCAATCTTTGAGCTTATCTGGAAAGGTTGCCTACGAGGTTTAGAAGTTGGTTTATGGTATTTTTTCTTTTTGCATTTTTATAAGAGGGACATTTGTCAGGTCACTGATTTGGACAAGAAGGCCTGGCTCTCACTCTACACTCTTATTCATCCACCAGGTCTTATTCATCCACCAGATTGAGGTCAAGTCAAATAAGAGTCCAGCCAAATTTCTCCATACCAGATTCTCTCATTCATATCCTTATAGACCTTGCTTTGTTCACTGGTGAAGAGTCATGTTGGAAGAAGAAAAGGCCAGCTCCAAACTGTTCCCACAAAGAAGCAAGCATTGAATTGTCCAAAACATCTTGGTATGCTGAAGCATTAAAAGTTCCTTTCACCGGAACTTAGCCCATAATCCCCCCTCAACCAAACTTTACACTTAGCATAATGCGGTCATACAAGTACCATTCTCCTGGCAACTGCCAAACCCAGACTCGTCCATCAGATTTAGAGATGTTGAACTCCAATTACCTGACACTATGCATTGCCCTTAGTGATGTTTAGCCTGGATGCAGCAGCTCCTAACCTGACTCCGCCAGATGGATTTGCTCCGCATATCCATCTGGAAACCTTCCGTTGAAGTAATTTTGGGAAGGGGCGAAAATACTGGTTAGCTGATTGGCCTATGTTGGTGATAGATGGGCCAAATAAACCAATCAGATCAACGAAGCATATGACTTACTAATAGAGCGACGATGAAAACACAACCACAAGCCAGGCACAAGCCAATTGATAGATCAAACTCTTGCCGAAAACAGTCGGGAGAAGAGCAAAAACATCTTTTCCTCTGAGAAAAGCCTCAAGAGCAGTGTTTTACTCTTCTTTCAGTGGACAAATACTCTGTAATTCCGATAAAACTTGCTCGATAGCCACGCTAACGCTAGTTTCATCGGCTGAAGCCGCCATGTTCTTTAGACTGAACTGTCGCGCTTCTCGTTGCGTCACACCTAAATCCGTCTCAAAGCCAACGCTGACTGGACGTTCGTTTGGTGAACGGCTCCAAATTTTCTTTAACGGAGAGTAGCCAGACTGATCTGCTAGTGAAACCTTGAAAGCTCGCGAGATCAGGATGGTCTCACGAGGCTAGCAGCTCCAACAAGGAAAGCCAAATCATGAAGCTCTCTGTGCCTTGTTCCTTAACTAGTATGAAGGCTACATGGGGTTTAGAAGTGTGTAGCGATTGGATGTGAAGTAAACTGGCAACCTTTTTTCACTATGCGCCTCACCGTCCATGGAGCCTTCTCTGTAAGTTACATCTACCACTTTGTGACTATATTCTCAAACACTTTTTCCCTATCATACAGCTGACAGTTGACTGTGAAATATTTAGGAGAGAGGAAATGTCATAACTGGATTAATTGCACAGGTGATCACAGTTCCACATCCTAAAACTGACCCATTCTTTCAAATTTTTTTATAACAACAGTCTGCATGCCTATGTGCTTCATTTTATTCACCTGTGGCTATTTAAATGATTGGAACACTTGAATCCAATAATTTGGATTGGTGAACAAATACTTTTTTGCTAGACTGAAGGAAAGCATAGAGGCACTAATCATGGTAGTACATGGTACCTTACAAGGTAAGTTTCCAGATGCAGGCTATATAATGAGGCCCATAAACAAGTCAAAATCTCACAGCAGGATGTCTGACACTAAAAGGGAAAGGAATACACCATAACCAAGTGGCTGGTATAGTGTACACCAGATGAGATTATGAACTGAAACCCCTAAGTCAAAATGGTGTTCACATGAAGGAGATAAGACAGAGCTAAGATATTAATAAACTTTCAGATACAAAAAAGACAAAACAGTAGTTCACAATCAACTGGACATGTGATCTTCTATAAGCAGCTAAGGACAGCCGCAGTGAATATTATATGCAACGAGAAGCTTCCTGATAGTCAGTGCTGAGACATGGTTCTAGACTAAAAGATGTTGACAGCTGGTTTGGCTCCACACACTGTGTTTAACCTCCTCTGAGCAGAACTAACACAAGGAAACATGTCACGGCTGGGTAGGTGTGAATTGAATCCGGCTGCTGGAATCCAATAGAGGGCCAAAGTGATCCACTAATGTTTTGTTCAGCTTAATTGAGCGTTGTCCCTTCAACTAAGCCTCACATCTTCATCTTGCATCTAATAGCTCCTTCTTTCATAAAGTTTCATAAAATGGATAAAGTAATTAGATTTTTAAAAGAAGGAGCTATTAGATGCAAGGAGGCGATCAAAAAAATACAAAGTCTTTGTCCAGAAAAATTTAAAACTCAGTTTTTTCTACCCAATATGTAGATCACAGAACTAATATACAGCAAATACAAGGAAATCACATAACAAACAGCTATAGTTTCTCTTTACTTCACCTGCAGAGTGGATCCGCACGACAGACTGCTCGTAGCTCCAAACAGTTGGGCTTCACCTTATCTACGTAAGAGCAATCAGGAACTATCGTCTGCCTGCGTCTCTCAGCACAGCCTTCAGACTGGCAGGGACAGAAGATGAGCCGTTGGCTGAGCCCTGAGGGCACGCGATCCAGGAAGGCCCTCAGAGTCTTGTGGCAGCGCTTCTTGTTGCAGCTCTCCCCTTTATTGGTGTCCTTGCTGCAGGTTGTGATGTAGCTGCTACGGTGCCTCTTGCAGATGCCGTTCAGGTTGCAAGCTTTGGTCGCGTCAAGGCAAGGGTTGCAAACTTTCTCCCCTTCTGGACACTGAAAGGGCTTTGGGTTCAGTGTGTGCATCCCTAAAAATAAATACATGAAGAGAGAAGACAAGAGAGGACACATTGTAATGACAGTCAGCGACTCAAAAGGAAAATGAACACATTTGTTGCAGTTGTGTGGCTACAATTACAATCAATATTCAAGTCATGAAAAAAAAAACTTTTGTTTTTATAAGCTAAAATGAATAACCATCAAAATCTACTGGAGTAAAAATCTAAATATGTCACTGTGTCGTAAATGTGACAATAGAATATCCCTGATTTATACCATCACAGCAATAACCAGAAGTGTTGACACAAGGCATGATTGATGGAAGCTTCCATGTTACCTCAATTTTTACTCAACCTAAACATTTCATCTGAATCTAGCACTCATCAATAAAAAGGAAGATTTTTCCAACCTGTTATCTGTAGCCGACAGGAGTGACACGCCATGTGGTCCTCTACAGCTACAGCCCACTCGCTTCAATTTGAAATATGTAGTGAGTTTGGAGATGATATTCAGCATACTTTGGTTGTATCAAGTGGTTATTTTAGCTCCTGTTGCCCCTCAATCATCTTGAGCCAGCTGGCCCATTCTCGTTTAATCTCTAACATCAGCACTGCAATTTTGTCAACAAGAGTGCAGCTAGCTGGATATTTTTTATTTTTTGGACCATTCTCTGTACAACAGAGGGATGGTTGTGTACGAAAAACAAAACAAAACAAAACAAAAGAAAGGTATATCTGTCTCTAGTGACCACAGCACCTCCAAAAGGATCTAATTCAAATTTCTTATCCATTTTGTTCAGTTTATTATTTGCTCAGTTTAATCTTAAGCAAGTTTTCCCTATCATGTAAAGAAGCTCCAAAGTACCTGCTGGCTGACTGTCTGATTTAATGTTAGTTTGAAAAGTAATGAACAGGTCTACATATTAAAAAGCGAGTGATATAGAAATATATGTTATATGGTTTATTAAGGAACTGCACGGTTGTGTAAAAAAACTGATCAAACCCTGGCCTACACTTTCTGCATGGAGTTTGAAGAGGTTAGGGATTATGTGTGTCAAATATATACATGAATATATACATGTATATATACGTGTATAAAATGTTGTACAATACTACCCACCTCTCCAGATATTTCCACCTGGTATGTGTCTTCCAGCTGTTTTGGGTGTGGGGCGCACACAGGACAATCAGTGTTTATGACAGCACTACTTTTAGGTCATGTAGGAGGAGCCCCACTGAAATTTTACTTATTGCTGGCTTAAATAATCTCTATGCTATGCATAAATAACTGTCTTTAATAACAGCTTCGATCAAACAGATACTAGTTACTGATGTGTGAAAATGAACTTAAAGGAAAGTAAATAAAGAGATCATGCTACCCCCCAACCATTTTGGTCAAAATTCACTAACTGATAATGCTGCAGTACCTACTCAAGCACAACCTGTGCCGTACCCTGCTGTGGAGCATCTGACTTTTCAGCATTGATCTCACATCATTTTATGAAGCGCTGATAGAAAAAAAATCACCTCTGCTTCGCCAAACAGATGCAAGCAAGCAGAAGGATGCCTGCAGCCAGGCCTGTCCACTCAAACTAAATCAATCCAGTCTGTCTCAGACCTTGAGTAAAATATAAATAAATTAAGCTATGATTTCAGATTAGATGTTAATCAATTATTCACCAACTGTTGACAGTTGATGTGATTACTCTAATATCAGGTAATTATCAGGTTGTCAAAGAGACTCACCTCATATTAATACTTTGACTAAGACCAGAAATCTCTAATTTTTTTGTTCTTTTCAAGAAGCCATATAAAAACAGAAGATGTCGAAGATGCTTGAGGAAAACTAGTATACTACATCCAGAGTTTGTGCAAAATACTGTTTAATCTTCATAGGATATGCTTAGTTCAGGGAGTCAACATAGTAACAGCAGTGCATCATTGTCTGAGTGCCAAATGTCCTTGATACTGTTGAACTTATTTATTTCTGAAAGACAACAAAACTGAAAAATCTCAATTACTCATCCAGCTGCACATAAGGATTTATAGTTAAGAGAAAAGGTTTTTTAGGTATCTTGAGGTTCCAAGATGCTGTAAAGCTCCCTTAAGAGAAAGACTGGTCTCGTGAAATATAATTGTAATAAAGCAGCTTCATGTTCAGTGGTGGCACCTATTTCTTGCATTGAGGGTATATTAGAGAAGTTAACCTCCTTTCCCCTGTAGATAATGATATTTCAGAGGTCGTGGCAGCATAGTGACACTGTGATAGATTCATCTCTTATTCAACAGAACCAATCTCCCTCCGTGTCTATCAGACGGCCTGCAGCAGCAAGAGGACCATTTTTTTTACAGGGGCTGCGCAACAGACACAGGATTGTTTCCCCATGGTGCACTGCATGTTATCAATCCTTGAAATTGGACGTGTGAGCACATCAAACCCCAGAAGAGGGATAAAAATAAGCAAATAAACAAAATTAATGATTATTTTTTCGGTTTCAGATTAGTTCAGGGAAACATACTTACAGCCCCATAAGACTAACAGAATTTTGAAGCTCATCCTAGAGGGACGCACATGTAAATAACCTTCCCTCTTAGCACTGCCTATGCTAAGATGGGTAATTTAGTAAGAACCTTGAAAGATAAGTGAGAGGTAAATAATACATCTTCAGCTTCTTTATTCTAATGTTATTTTGTCTTGACGGTTTTACCTGACATTTTCATCACCTAGAAGCTTAACTGTTCTTTCACCAACCAAGGAGTAACTATTAACCCCATGAATGGTGCATTAACTTTTGTATAACAGAGGATATTTTAGAATGTCAAAATGCATCTTAGTTAAGATAACTATTGTAGTGCCGTACAAAGTAGTGGAAGCAGCAGCCAACCCCTGTGTATTAATAGTAAGACTTGGTAAGTTTAGTGTCTGAAAACAAACTTTTCTTACATTTAACACTACAAGTTAAGAGGTTTGGGATTGGTAAACATGTAGGAATGAAAGACACAAGAAAAAGTAAAAGTCCAACAGAGATTTATGCCATAAGAGGTTTTGTTTATCTTCAACAGCCCTCTATCAGTAGAAAGAAAGAAGGAAATCAGACTGAACAACATAATAATCATCAGAACTATATAAGCTTAATGATATCACCTGTTTTTAATCATTAAGAATAAAACTCCAAGCTGAACTAAGGCCCACCCATCTTTCCTTTAGTAGCCCAGAAAAGAAAATATAATTGCAGCTTTTGTTCAGAATCCTATTTCTCCAACCTCCTGCTGAAAAGCCTAAAAGTCTGGCAAAGTACACTATCTGAATCCAAAATGAGCATGACCTTTTTGAGTACATTTGTGCACAAGGCATTAACAAAACTAAATGTTTAAATCCTTTTGCATGATAACTTTGACCTGAGGATATTTTATTTTTTGCAGAAGGTCAGTAGTTAACCACAGACAAAGCCCAGATGCATACCGGTAATATTTTTCTACATAAAAGCAATATTCAGAAATCCTGAATTTGGTTAAAGTTGTCCAAGTATATCCTATTTCTGGAGTTAAACATGTGTTTCTTTAAGCTTCATTTCATAGAATAGTTACACAGCTGCACCAATCAATCAATCAATTGATCGATCAGAACCAAACATCAAGAAGCATCTATCTGTCCGTCATTCTGTCTGTCAGTCCATCCGTCCACCAATCAATCAATCATTTATAATGTTGTTTGCACATAGACTGTAAAGACTAAGAATAACGTTGATATCTATAGCATCACTAATTATACAAAAGTTTACTCATGAATTCCTTAACTCCAGAGTCATATTTTACTACCTCCACAGCTTTACCTCTTACTTTAAGTGCACATCAATGTTTATATTGTATTTTAAGGGGTATTTGGGCCTTGTCCTTGTTGGAAATTTTTTTTTTCCAGTATGGATCTTGGAATTTTTACATAAAAAAAAACAAAAAACAAAACCAAAAAACTTGCTGGTACTGTAGTTGCGAACTTGCTTAGAACATTAGTTTCTTGTTTACCTATTGTGAACATGTGCAATATTGTGCCTACTATCAGGCAGTGTTGCCGTTGTAGATAAACACATGAGGGTTACAATTTGTAATAAACAGAGCAGAAAAAAGCATAAAACACAAAAATAACAAATAAAATGCCAACAGGATGCTGTGAATCAAAAAAAAGTCGTATGCAACAGGAATTGGCTACTTGCATAAAGATTTAAAGAATGCCAGGAATGTGATTATGTCCCTTTCAAAATGGAATTTAGGAAATTAGGCATTAGGCTAGTCCAAACAATAAAAATATATGTAATTTCCAGCTATAGAAAGTATGGACCAATCATTTTTTAAATTAAGCTTTATATCTTTTACAGGATCTAACTAACAAAAACTTAAAAGAGCAATCTGAAACCTGGCAAGGGCTTTAAACATATGCTGCCTTCATGAATAAAATAGTTTAAATTCAAAATTAAATTCCTTCTGAAATTATATTTACAGATTGGAATTAGCACTATGGTTTTCTGCCAGGGAATAGCAATTTTTGTGAATGCAAGAGTTTTCAAAGTAAAGAAATTTTCTGTGAGCAGCATCTAAAAATAGATATATTTTTGTGTGTATTGTACTGTAGCATCACCTATAGATTATAAGTAAATAAATCATAGGGAACAATGAGGGCTACAAATTAAAGCTTCCAGTTTGGCTCTAAAGTATATAAAATAATTTGTTTTTTAATCAGCACCAAACTGCATTTAATCATCTATAGCTCAAAACTACTGAATCAACAAACCTGTACTGGATAATTCCAGTTTCATGTTTGATATTAAGATTCATTTAACACAGTCTGAGATTACTTGTATAAATATTTTATTTATGATAACACAAATGACTAAGATAAGTTGTGTTTGGGGGAATTAAAAGAACAGAAGGGGGTAACCTATGTCGGCATTCAACCAAAGACCTTAATTGATCACCATGCACCAGTTTTTTGTGCCATATGCATGATAAACTTAGACCCTTCTGAGTGAATGAAT